TATATATATATATATATATTATCAAAATATGTGCCAAAATATGTCCAAGCATATATTTTCTTATTAATAATAATAATATTATTAATAATATTATTATTTTATTATTAAGGATAATAATCCATATTTAGAAGTAAGATTAAACTTGCTGCGAGCTTGTACTATTCAATATTATAATTATTCTTAAATCAATAAAAAATACTAGTTGTTTTTCCTCGAGTTGGATATAAATTGTGTTTGATTAGTTTAAGTAACTTTAATCACTTTTATTATTTTTAATAAAAAAATATTCTTATGTATTTTTCAAGATGAAATTAACCAAATGGACATATTATCTTTGAAAGTGCTCATGCATCCAAAACAGATATAAATTTACTTATCGTGTTATATGAAGAATTTTTATGGGTCTTCTTCATGGATTTATTCGGGACGAATTGATCTGTTTTTTAGACCTATATTCGAGACTTGTATTACGAAGATCATCTTATGAGATTTGTTATACCTTTTTATTTGTTTGTTCGATTTATATTTGTTCGGTGCTAGAAAATTTCTAACTGTAAAATAAAAAATCAATGCTTTAGCATTGTAAGAAGATCCATATACACATGAATAGCTAAAAAGAGACATCGAATTTTAGGTGGAAAACTCTAAAAGGAAGTATCATTTGGCCTCACTCAATTAAAATAAGTCACTAAATATTTCAGAGTACAATGTTTCACTCTTCTCTATATATAGGGAAGATGGGGTTTCAATGTTCTAACTAAGTTGCAAAGATAAGACAACAGCTGCCTAGAAATAATAACCATGTCGTAAAATCCATTAGTGGTGGTTGGCAATAAACTTTGGTGGTCCTCGATTCCCTGTTTCCATCAAGAGTGTTGACTTAACTCATAGCTTCCGGCCTCTAATGTTGATAACAAGGTTTTGTTTTTAAAGTTTCTAAATAATATTTTGGTAAATTTAGCCAACATCTCAAAACACTTCATTGAACAATCAGTGTGACTCCCTTGATCAAAGATAATTCTTTTATCTTGTAAGTGCCTTAACGATCTCAAAATTGTATGATTGAACTTGCTGGATTCTTCTCGTCAAGACACTCGATTCGATTGTAAGCATGTTAAACTTGAAAATCATTTCACTATTCAATTAATTCTTTAAAACTTTGAATCATACTTCAAGTGCTCGATCTGAGCCAATTTAAGCTCAAATCGAGTAGTTTTCAGTATCATTAGGAACGTACTCATTATCAAGGTTATCAATATGGATTCAAAGTTGTTGAAATCAGAGTCTCAGTGATCTCTTTTTTAACTATGTTTTTTTTTTTTAATTCTGTTTGTATTGATATTCATGCTTCGTAATGTCGATCTTTGGCGACATATCAATTATATTTTTTTCTTCTTCTTCTCTCTCTCCCTCTTCCCCAAAGATCACATAAGATCACATAAACCTAAGGCTTGAAAGATATGAGCATCTGAGAAATCAAACCTAATTTTCTCCCACTAATGTGCAATATCTCTTTATTGTTGGCTTAATAATTTAGTGATATGTAATTAAATGCCACATGATTAAATACATAATAAGCTAAATGCTACTATCATACATTTTAACAGTTGAGGATGCATCCCTCACAAAATTTAAATTTTTAAAATAAATAGACAAACAATCTATCAAAATCTAGTAGTTACCATACTAAATGATTTTTAGGTTTAAACATATCTAAATGTAATCAATTTGAATTTAATGCATTTTTAAAATCTTATTTGAGTTAAATCTATTAAAGTTAAACAATATATTTGCAATATTTTATTTAACTCAAATATTTTAGGGGGTATTTACATACTTACCACCCAATTGATTTGTATTTACATATTTTGCACTTATACTTTACTTATTACATTAATACCACCCAAATCCTTTTTATCACATAAAAAAAAAATTGCACCATTTTAATTTTTAGAAAGTGAAACACCTTTTCAGGCATGAATATGGTGGATTTTACATAAGAAAATGAAGTTTAGGTGTCACTTGTTGGATATGTAAAGATGTAGGGATTAAGTGGTATGTATGTAAATTTTAATTTTTTTATGTTAAAATTTTTTAGCCTAATCCCAAAGTTATGAACTTATTGAATCCTGAGAACTTAAGAAATGTGAGAGAGACATAAAGAGAAGTGAACAATGATGAACAGTAAATGTCTTGTCTATTAGTCCATTCTTATAAAACGATCTTCTTATTTTTAGAGTTGAGAATACAATATGTGTTTCCTTCCCTTGCTTTAATGGGTCAGGGGCCGTATAGAACATTCTAAGCATTTTACATGTATGTGCATATATCTCGGCCGGTTGGGCTGACATTACTTCATCTAGGTAAGTTCAGTTCGGTCGACTAGGCTGAGTCGATGCAACTATTCAGTTGGACATGCTTAGTTTCGGGTCTGCAGGACTGATTCAGCCGACTAAGTTTTGTCAGTCGATTGATCTGGTTTGGCTATCGACTCTTGATCCGTAGATGAGGGGATCCTGTCAACAGAACGAGACTAGTCTATCAAGCATGGCTTCGCTCAACTTTCCGGTGGCGTTTAACTTGGTTGTTTATCTGTCATACTCTCGTATGATAGGTTCGTGCTCGAATTGTTCTTTTTGTCATCCAGTTGGATAAGCGGGTCTCTTGCACCCTTTTCGGGGGCCCTCCCCTTTCATACTTCCTTTCTGGACCTTCAGCATTCTTTATTTACAGAACAATATGCATTTTTTGTTTAATTATATTTAAAGAAGATGCTATACAACACTAAGGTTTTAACACCACATAAAAAATATCACTAATTTTAACTATTTTTTTAAAAATAAAATACATATTTTCACGCATATATTTAGATGTGATTGTGATATTAAAATGTTAAACATGTAAATATCAAATTTTGTGTTTTAGATTTAAATATATAATGAATGTGTCATAAGCATGTAAATTTCCCTTAGCAACAGCGTTTGACTCCCAATAAATTAGCCAAAAAAAAAAAGGAAGATCAGCATACAAACCACTCAATTCTTATGTATTTACATTTCTACCACCTTACCCATGCACGAAAAGGTGTATTCACTTCTTAAAGTTCAAATACTGATATTTTTTGAAAATGTAGGAGTTATATATGTAAATACATAGGGATTTGTGGTTTGTATAGCAAAATAAACCAAACTTCAATGTGGATAATGATTATATTGCAGGCAGCTTTTCACACAGAAATTGGAGATATTTCTTATAAATATATCTATATATCTATCTATCTATATCTATATATATACACATATATATAGTTGGAAGAAAAAGAATCCTATCCAAAGTATGCATTTTTTTGAGGTACTGAACATGCCTTAACTGTACCCCTTCAAACGCTTGAAATTCTGTAAATAAAACTAATGGGCAGGAATGAGAGCAGCCATGAGTTCCTGCAGTGCCAGAGATACATCACTGTGACAAATTTGTGCTGAAGTTATGTCCTTGCTTTTAACTGCATTGCCCAGCTGCCATTAAAACAGTGATCAGTTTGATATATTTGGATTTTAAGAGAGAATTAAAAGAGAATTAATACTTTGTTCACATGTTTTTAGTCAAATTGAAATGATTCATTAAATTTATTTATTTTTAAGGAAGATTTACATACAAATCACTCAATTCCTCTGTATTTATATATCTAATGATCAAAAGTAATAGAGGATTGAATAAGATGACAAGTTATAGAAATTTTACCTCTAAAACATCAATAGGTAAATAAGAGGTAAAGTTTGATATGAAATAGAAGATAGAAATGAAACTAAATGATGTTTACCAAACTCACAAGTATTATATTTACATTTAAAAGAGACATAAGTGAGTCGTTGAAATCGATGTGTCGGTAGATGACCCAATTAACATTATCAGTGAAATAAAGCGATGGTAAAAGAGAAAGCGGACGAGGTTTTGTTAGTGTGAAGTAATAGATTTCATTAGCTTCAATACTATCACCAATTGTTTCCATTTCTAATATAGTAAAAAGGGAGAAAATTACAAAACAAATATATCTTTTAGTTAAAGCAATGAATGGGAAGCAATTTAGCAGAAATTTTGAAAATATATAAATCATCTAAAAGAGAGAAGAAAAAAGACAAATGCATAGAGCCTTTTCAAAAGACATGAGAGTGGATAAATCCGCATCAAGAAGCAAAAAAAAAAAAAAAAAGGAAAAAAATTGAAAACTAGCTGTTATATTTGAGGACTCCCCATAATTTATTCTCTATGGCAGACCAGATGAAACAATAATAATAGAACTATAAAATAAAATGAAAACAAAAGAAAACAGGTACTGTTGAATTAGGCAATTATATACATCTAAGAAAGAGTAACATAGGTAGAAGAGCTGGTGGATGCAAGAGATCCAGCAGTAGTAACCAATGATCGAGAGGCATATTGAGCCGAAAAAAAGTGGTCATATTTAGCCCCACCACAATGTCCTACAGCTATAGAGCTGATTGGTCATAGATTAGTAGGGAGAGAGTTGAAAGCTTAGTGAATTTTAAAACATAAGAGAATGCATCTACAATGTTAGGAATGGTGGAATCAAACATCAACTATGAGTACGCCCGCTCAAGGGGTGAGTGAAGTTCTGAGAAAAAACTCATTTCATTTCTTTCAAACTATAGGATCAACCATAACATAATAAATTTTCTATACAATAATTAACCATGTATAATGTGGCTTTCTAAATTTCTAAGACATTAGAATCCAACGTTAACACACGACAAAGTTGAGTGCCAAGCATGTCATTTCTTTCAAACTATTGGATCAACCATAACAGAGGAGGCTTATAAGCATTTCAGATTTACATGCACAATCCTTGGCAGTAAATTTATAAACAACCAATAAATTACTTGAATTTCACTTCATTTCCTCTTTCCTTCAATACAAACTAAGTCAAATATAGGATAAAAATAAAAGGGAAAAGAAAAATAAGATAATAATAAAAATACCATGAAAACTTGAATTTGAGGTAAGTGATCAAGGATTACTGAGCTGGCACTTCAATCTTAGAGATCGAATTTTAATTAAATGCTAATATTTTCAGAAGAAAAAGAGGTCAAATAGATTGTGCTATTGTTATAGATAACATAAAGTATTCCAACGCCAGATTCAGTACAGTTGGGTTTTAATGAAACTTGAAAAGTCTACGGTTTAGCTGTTTTTTTAGTTATTAGCTCAACAGCTTTCACAAATAAAACATTAAAAACAATGCTCAGCAAATAGAATAGAAAGAAGAAAGCAAGCTAATTCAAAAAAATAAAAATTAAAAAAAAATAAAAAATCCCCAAACATATAACAAAGAGAAGCTTGGTTTAAATGTGGCGTTAACAGCATGCAACCAAATTTCCATTCATCAACTTTATGTTCAGAAAAAACATCCACTTTCTATGGCCAAAGAGCAAAAAATATCATATTTTAACAAAATAATTTTACAGCACTAATATTAGAAGTGAAAAAAGAGGGTTACCTTTTCAATGTAGTGGAACAACATGCTACCAAGGTCAGTAAGATTCCGCTTCTGTTCATCGCAAGAACTAGAGATAACATGACTGAGATCACAGTACATGAAAGTTGATTTGAGACGGAGATCCCTGCTGATTATCTCCCACCAGACATCATCAATATCTTCGTTAATCAAATCTTCCTCCATTGATAGAAGATCGAAAGCACAGCTCTTGATTCTAAAGACACATCCTTTGGTTGCCATATCGTCCATTGCTGCAAGTAACAGGAGCACATCAGCAACCATTGATTCAAGCTAAATTGAAGGAAAACAGAAAGAGTAGAGGACGCCTTAAATAATATTTACTAAGGCTATGTTTGAATTGAAGGAAAATGAAGGAAATGAAATGAAATTTAGACGGTTATGGATATACGGCCGTTGATTCAAGCTTTGCCAATACATTTTCATTTCCTTTCAGTCAAATTCATACCATCCAAATACAGCAATTGAGGCAATTCTTAAAATCTAGTTTCACTAAAAACACAAAAAAAAACCATTTTTTAAAAAAAGCATAATTCTGAAAGTAAGTTGTATCTGATATGTAATTAACCTTAAAAAACAGCTGCAAAAAATCTAAATTACATTATAATTCCAAACCCACAAAACAGAGAATAATTAGTGATACAGACAACAAATAGAGAAAAAAAAAGGGTTTTTTCTGTTTATTCATTTTCTTCAAATGAGTAGCTATTCGTTTCTTCCTCCCAAAACGAACGATTCGAGCTTCAAACGTGAAAACAATGAATGATTTCTCAACGTTAACAGATAAAAATCAAAACAAACATATTATTTAAATTATAAAAAAAGAAAAAGAAAAAGAAAAAGAAAGAGAAAAGTAGATTAGAAAGAAGAAAATTTGACCTTTGTCTCCTCGGCTCGACGCGATCGCCATTACTTCATTTTCCTCAGGTGATCTTGTCGCCTCTTATAACCGAAATACGAGCCTTTTTCGCACTGGCCGTAAATGGAAGAGAAATACAATGGCAGATAGTAAGGGCAGTTATAGGGCTTTAAGTAAACCGCTTGTGAGTTAAAACAGACATTATGTTCTTTAAATTAGCTTGTTTGTTCCTTTCTAATCGGAAGATTTACAATTTTACATTCATATCACTCAATTTTTATGTATTTACACCCCCCCGACATATATACTTCAATTCTTGTAAATGCTTCGTCTTTATTTATGCATGAAATAGTGTCTTTTATCTTTGACAAGTTAAAATGGTGATATTTGTTTATGTGATATGAAAGGTCTGAGCTTATAAATGTAAGAAATAAAGCTTGGGTGTTGAATATGTAAATACATAAGAATTGGTTGGCATATATGTAAATGCCAATGTATTAAAATTAAATCTTATTATTTGTAAAATATTAGTTATAATTAAATTATAGTCATCTTTAATTAATTATTTGTTGAGTGCTAATGAATTACATATAAATATTTTATTATTAATAATAAACTATTTTGTTATCAAAATTTACTCGATATTATTCGAAAGAATTAAGTTGCTTGCATCCCTAACATCCTGGTAAACCAAACGAAATCAGTCCAAATATTTCGCATTTAAAAAACAATTATTATTAATTATTTAAAATAAATTAGTGAAGAAGCGTGTATGAGCTTTATTCTTTTGAGAAATCTCGGATTGCCTGCTTGGCAGGGTCGTAGACTCCGCCTCGTTTCTGGTCCCGTTGGCCTATTTATAGGTTGGAGAAAGAAAGGAAGAAACTAAAAAAAGGATAAAAAAATGTTTTGAGGAAATCAATATTTTTAAATAAATGTAATTTTCTTTTCTTAAATAAGATTAAAGAGGAAGAAAATCTCTCCTATTTTATTCCATACTTAATTTTATTATTATAATTTAAGTATACATCAATTTCTTTCCAAAACATTTAAATTAAAGTATATTTATTATAAAATCATTAAATTGAATTTCTTTCTATTTATTTTCGCATCCAACACCTCATATATATATATATATATGAAACATCATGAAAAGATAAATTGCTTTAGATTTTGGTATATTCGGGCAATGAAGTTAGTCTCGCCCAAAATTATGGGGGCAATTGATATACCATCCACAAATTTTTATCTTCCAACATGAATCTAAAACATGGTATGAATATCAAGGTAAATTTTCGAGTTAAAATGGTTCAAACTTCAATAAAAAGATTTAGAATTCCGATTTCAGCAAACTTATAGTTAAACTGATCGGCTTGGCGAGACAGACCTAACGATGCCAAAATCGGTCCAATTCGAGTCAAATCAAGCAAATATCAAGTTTTTAATTTACTTTTAAAAGTTTTTCGAGCATAATTGGATGACCAAACATATTTCAAATATTCAAATCAAGCATCTCGACATGAAGAATCTATTGATCCCAAAATCACTCAATTATGTCATCATTAAGACACTAAATGTCCTTCAAACATTGTTCGAACAATGAGATCATTTTGGGCTGTCCAATTAAGACTAGTCTGAATTCCTTTCTTATTTGCAATCTTAAATCTATAAATAGACCTCTACTCCCATCATGAGACGGGACTAGACCCTCAACAAGAGAAAAGTCAGAGCTAGAAGAGGGAGCCAAAGTTCAGGATCTTGCATCGATGATCTGACATACAATCCCACTCATGCAGCAGCCAACCATCCCTGATCGCCATTGTCTCCTTGCTCTTACAACTGTTAACTACTGCTGACCACCAACGACCTCCAGCACTAGTAGCCACCATCACCAACCACAACTAACTGACTACCACTGAACACCATTAGCCCCTCACTTCAGCAACCACTGGCCAACCCTGGTATTGCCTCCGACCAAATCAGGTCGCCGCCTCCTCTTGCCAACTCTGGTCACCGCCTACAAACTCTAGCCATCCCCGCCGCCTCTGACCACCGCTATCTTCACGAACAAACTCTGGCCACCACCGCCTTCAACTAATTCAAATCGCCACCATTCCCCGGCCAACTCCTGTCGCCGTTGCTAGCCACTAACGATCATCATCGACCACACATGTTCCTTGCAGTGAAGTCTCTTGTGAAGTCACAATGTGCACTGTTGAATCCTAGAGTACATTGCAAAGTAACAACACATTTCACTTATACTATAAAGACACCTCAGAATTATGGTGTAATAATACACTCAAAAGGCGGTGATTTTCTTCGGACTCTTAAAGTTTACTTAGTGCAGCTCACAACTTGACCCATACGACCTACGAACGTCATCACCGTTTACCACTACGACCTACGTGACTGGCAACGGCCTACATGTTTCATAGCTTGTGCAGCTCCCGACTCCTACCCTTGTGGTCTATAATCATCTTCACATCTCACCACTTTGATCTACTTGACCACCTTTGACCTACATGACACACAAATTGTGTAGCTTCAGACTCCGACCACTGTAGCCTACATACTTCATCACAAATTACTACTACGACCTACTTGGCCAACTACTGATTATGTGGTCCACTACTCATGCAACTCTCGACTTTTGCCCTTACAACTTATGAACGTCATATTAGCTCACCACTATGACCTACGTAACTAAATCTGAATTACGTGGTTCATAGCTCATGCAGCTCCCTATTCCGACCCTCGACGCCTACGAACACCATCACAACTCACCACTACGACCTATGTGACCAACTACGTCATATGTGGTTCACATCTCATGTTGCTCTCGACTTCGGCCCTCACTACCTACAAATTCGTCGTAGCTCACCACTACGACGTACATGAACCAAAAATAACCTATGTAGTTTACAATTCATGTAATTCCCAACCATGTCTTTGACGATCTATAGATGTAATTGCAGCTCACCACTAGGGCCCATGTGACCAACTGCGGCCTGTGTAGATCTCAATTTCTACAGTTGCCTACTACGTCCTTTGTGGTCAGCCAACGCTCCTGAAGAAACTATCTACGACCCATATGTCCAACTACTATCATGACTTTCAACTATGAAATACACGGTAAGTTGGCGCTAAGACCATCATGTATAAGATTCACAGCTGACTACTGCCTCTATAGCAACTAAGAATCACCCTTACAACACACTATCATCAAGAACTAAAAGCCACTAGGGCGCATGTGACCAACTGCGGCACGCGTAGCTCTCTACTCCTACAACCTCCTACTATGTTCTTTGTGGTCAGCCAACGCTCCTGAAGAAACAATCTACGACTCATATGTCCAACTACTATCATGACTTTCAACTATGAAATACACGGCAATGTATAAGATTCACAGAGCAACTGGCAAATGCCCTTGCAACATACTATCATCAAGAACTACATTCATTATAGTTGGACCGCGGTTACTATCAATGAACTACTGTTGTACATTTATAATTATCATCCTTGTAGCTCCATCTTTTTTAATTCAAGAGAAGAGTGAAATTTTCTAATTCAAGTAAAGAGTGGATCCATGTACTCAAAATTGCACGGTGGTTCATTTCAACTAAGCTTGGCCTAACAGCTTTTTTTTTTTTTTCCTTTATAGGGTTTTTCACATAAAAAGTCGACGTATCTCCTCCTAATTAGTTCCTCTTCAAGTACCAGAGTGTGTGATGAGTTCTCATATAATACTAAGATGGTAAATTTATGACTCTAATTCTGATCCGCCGCAGATCTTTCGACACACATCAAATAAAACACAGAAATTGGTAGCAAAAAAAATGGTGAAAGTTTTTATTAAGAGTCTATATAATAAGAGAAGCATATAGAAAAAAATTCAACCATTTTTAACGAGGATATCAGTTCCAACATGTAATTAAAGTTAAAAACCGACAAAAAATAAGTTATATGAAGTTACTATTCTTGAATTTTCTACTTTACCAAATAGTAAATTTGCTACATTAAAATTTTATGAGATATATAAAGATGTTAATTACGTTCATAAGAAAATCTAAATATTTTTACTATTAATTGAATTACATAAATAAAGATTAAAATATCACAATTTCAATATCAAAATATTCAAAATTTAAAATTCCCTTACAAATTAAATTGGCTAACTTTTGTGACAAAATTGTTTAAGAAAATATGCTCATTCACATGATCATTGAGCACCAAAAGTTAAATCATAATTTTTAGAGAAGTTCTAAAATAAGTATATAAACACTCAAAATCTAAAAAAAAAAATGATTTTTGCACAAATTACTAATATTTCTTTGGGAAATCTCCTTGCATCATTTATGTATCATTATACTAAATTTATCTTTTTCTAACTCTCACACCACATTAAAATTTTAACCTAATTAACTCTACCAAAAAAAATAAAAAAAAGATACTTCATAATAGGGTATAAAATTCTCTCACATTATGGGTGTGTTTGATGTGGCGCTGCGGCAATGGTGTGGTATCGCACCGCAGTTTTTTATGTTTGACAAGACTGTTTTTTGTCTGTGTTTTAAAAAATCTACAGCTAAAAACTGTGTTTTTTCATCATGTCTGACTACTTGCAGCATCTGTTAAAAAGTTGCGGTATAACTTTTCCAAAAAAAAAAATGTAATAGTCACCACAAATTTTTGAATAACAACTTCACAGTTACTTCTTCAAACAGTTGTAATTACAATATCTAATCCATTCATATGAAAATTATTAACCTGTTTATTGAGAAGAATTAGAGCTCTACCACAAAGATTGAAATCTTCTAACTTTTGACCCTAGTTCATCAAAATGAGGATAATAAACGTCATGACCCAGATTGGCACGACCTTTACATCAAAGTAGATTATAGCATCATGTGAGATATACAAAAATTAATTTTTATCCAAAATTTCTTTAAAATAGATTGCTTTTTTATCTGTTATTTATTATAATATAGAGTCTTATATGTGTGTGTGTGTGTGTCCGGAAACAAACTCAAGTGATGGAAAGTTCTGTTAAGAAGTGATTAGAAAAGGGGGCAGTGGTTGTCCACTCCTTCCATTGGATCGTAATTATTGTCCAGACGCAGCTTGCATCTTCTAGACGTAATATTTTTTTCCAAATTGAGAAGCCAACTCTTGGATTAAAAAAAAAAAAAAGGAAAAAAAGAAAAAAAGAGAATTTACTTTATTCACCACTCCACTAAAATATCTATGTTGAAATCCTTAAAGTGGTGGCACCTCAAACTTATTTTTTTAAGCAGCGCATTTTTTGCTGCAATTTTTTCAAAACTTGGTGTATTTTTGGACAAAAGATGTATGTATGTAAATCTTCCATTATTTAAATAAAGAAGAAAAGAGCCCCATTTGAATAGGTATCAAACTTTCCTCAGCGCAAAAGAGGAAAACAGATTAATTTATCTTGATAATGACTGAGTAACACATCATTTCTTATATAAACACTTCCTAATTATATAACAAATATAAGAACTTTCCATTAGAAATGTAAAGAATTAACTTCATGAAAAACTGTAAAATTTTCACCAAGCTTAATAAATGCAATCCAAGGTTAAAGAGGAACCATTTCAGACAGCTAAAGGAGCACATAGCCCTTAAGTTTGTCAGCCACCAATAACCTAATGCTAATTTCATTACAGGAATCTCGACTAGATCTTCGTTTATGAAAGTGGGGAAAACAATAGAGAGAACAATTTAAAAAAATAAAATCAAGCCTGAGACAACGGTCATCTTCCAGAGAGTTGCATCTAACACTGCCCAAAACTTTGAGATCCAAGAAAATGGAGGAATTGCTGAAGCCAAGACACACAGCAACAGGAAGAGCTAAATTAGTTCTCATTCTCTCATCCTAAGAGAAAATTAGGCCAATCTTCTTAGCAAAATCATCTTCATCTTCATCTTCTTCTTCTTCATCATCTATATTCATTGGGTCAATGTTTTCATCATCTTCTGCGTTGTAATCTCCGCCATCTACTGTATCATCATAATCATATTCCCCATCTCTCTGATCAGTATAATCAAGTTCTTCATCTTCAACCGCATCTCCGGTTTCTGCTTCATGTTCTTCAGCCTGCAGCTTGTAAGTTATTTGCTCAACAGCTGCAGGAAAATGAACTTCCCCTCCAATTTCTCCCTCTTCTTCCACAATTGTTCCTACCTCTGGTTCTTCAGGATTAGTGATAAAACCTTTAGCGTCTTCCAAACTGGTTTCCAGTGCATGGTGCGCCTGCAATTCTGGAACTGGAGCAGCTTCAAATTCCCCAATTGCTTTGCTATCGTTGCTAACAGCAGAAATTGCATCATCCTCAGGCCTAGCTTCTCTACTGCTCTTCAGGAGAGTGCTTAGTGGCTTCGGACCATCAAATGGGACTGAAACCACAGAATCACGCAGCCCAGCCGAATGAAGAACCTTGGTTGAATGGGCTGGAGAGCTTTCATCAGTTTTCACACCTTTCAGTTCTGCAAGACTTCTTGGACCAGCAAAATCCAGAGTATCCACACCATCTCTTGATTTCTGTTGGTTACTTGTGTTTCTACCATTGCCAGAGGAGTCCTCAATTGGTTTCCTGCTTAATCTCTCTCCGAGCCTTCGCTGCAGACTCAATGTCCTCACAGGTGAAAGATTGCATCTTTGCCTTCCCCTACTTCCTCCACCCTGTAAATCAGAAGAAAATTCTTGAGATAATGGCCTTGGAACTGTTATTCTACCTCTCAAGCGATTGCTAATGGTGCTTTCAGGAAGCGGCTGACGTTGATCCCTGTAGGGGTTATGGGTATGCCTATCCTGCCTTTTTTGTTCATGTCTACCATCCAGCTTACTTTCAGAATCAGAATCTGTAGCAGATAAAGAACCATTTAGCCTTCTCTGCTTTGTTAGCCTATAACGAAGATCGGTTTCATCCACTCTATCAGGACTCCTAAGCCTGTGTGTTGATCCTCTTACAGGCAATATTGGCCTATCCAAAATCCTCTCAGATACAGAAAAAGTTCTGTGTTGGTCTCCATCAACTCCATTCTGCACCTTTCCATATCGCCTAAAGTCACCAGCCCCACTGTGTTGATCCCTATCAAACCCATCTACAAGATTCATAGTTCTTCCACCTTGACTAGCTTTACTTCTGAAGCCATCTCTGTCATGTTTCACAACATTATTAACAAGAACATCAAATCCAGGGGAAAACTCTGTGAAGCCCTCTTCAGCACCCTTGCCATTCTTGTATCTGGAAGACTGAAGTTGCTGATTTAATGGCCTCTCCAATTTGGTGTAGCCAAATTCGGAAAAATCCCCCAATATCTCACCAGCTTCCGGCTCAATCGAATCCGACTGAACATGAACGTTTCTAGACTGCGCAAAGCTGCTGCTTTTATGCACCAAATTAACTTTAACTGGTTGTACAATACTTTCTTTAGGGATTCTCAGTGCCGCAGTAGAAGAGTTCTGCTGATTTCTAAATTCCTCGGGTTTCCTAGCATCCTTTTTGGTTGTGTCCAACTGAGTGGTGACTGGTGCAAAAACCTTTGAAGTCTGCTTTGCTATGGAATTACTTGCAGGCTGTGTTCCATGCATAAAAGGACACTTATCTCCTTTCAAACAGCCACCATTCTGGAAATAATAACAAGGAACATTGTTTCTGCTTGAATTATAGGCAGAAGAGTTCATCGTCGGTAACTTCGTAGATTCCGTCACTTGCGAAGCAGTCATCATGATTGGCCCTGAACTAGCCGCCGAATTTCCAACCGGTCCATCGAGCGGCTGAAAAGAGGAAATAATTACATTTCGTAAAAGTGAGAAAATAAAACTTCTTTTAAGACTAATCCAGCTTTGCAAGTTCAACCGGATAAATATTGATATTGCTTCCATGAAATTGAGGTAAAAGAACAAACCGGATGACGAAATAAGCATTTTGGATTCAAGCAACTGCCGCTAAACCAGAATTTGCAGTCCCTCGGGTTAACTCTGGCACCCTCACTATGGCGATACTCACATTCGCTTCCCTGTAAGTACAATAGCTGTTGTTATCTCCGGTTTTAAAGAAGTTCCAATAAATAAACACATTAAAATCAAATCTTTCATGACATTAGGTTTACAAATCCAAATAAATGAATTATTACTCAGTTACCTAGCAGAATGATTACACCCAAAGATAAAGTTTATGGAAATGATTCACAGAGGATAATAAAGAAGTGGATCTTCAATTTTAGAAAGCAACAAGGTCAACCAGGAAGTAATAAATAGATAGAAATCATTTAGAATTTGACCAACCATGAAAAACATACATCAATGTATATCAATTTTAGTATCCATTATAAGCATTATTATAATTAACAAAAAAAGATATAGAATTAATGCTTAAACTTGATGTAACCCTCATTATAGATGTAATTCAATTGTAATGAGAAACAGTTTAGGCACACTACAGCCATTTATAGAACCAATCAAAGTCTCAACTTATATATTTTTAATAACTTCAACATATCTTAAAACAAACCTTTTATCTATGTGTGCACGAAAAAAATTCTTGTCATTCTTGATCTTATAAATTCCCAAGTCTAATAAAAAACATAAGAATATACTTTCTATGCTCTTTATACTATTCTATCATTTGTATTAACACAATTTTTTTTTTCATAGTGAATGCAAGGAGATGCAAGGAATCGTTAAAAAACAATTGAGGTTAAGCTAATGTAGCTTATTTTCTAGACCATAAGGAAAATAATATATCTAATAAGGACTACCTGTAACTCAATCCAAATCTAGAACATGTTTTCACCAAGAGCAAAGGATCTCTCCATGGCATAAGAAATTTTCAGTATCTTCAGCAGTAAAAACTAATGCCTCAAAAATGAAAATAGAAAATAGATGAAAATAACTGAAAAAAAAAAAGGCATTTCTCGCATAAGAATTAAGGTGGAAGGAGATATCTTCGAAAGTAACCAGTGCAACCAATGAATGCATATTTTGAAAGAGAACACAGGCTTAAAGTGCATGCATCTTCCTTATTATACATCTGATTCCCACTAAAAAAAGGATTAGATATATATGTTCCATTAAAAGTTCATTAGAATAAGAAAGTATTATAGAAACTTAGGAGTTCCATCTCCATTTGAAATGAAGTAAGATGTTTAAAATAGAAGTTGTAACAAAATTGAAAGATTTCATCACTTATTCATCCCAGTGAAGAAAATATAGTAACTCTATGCCCAATCAAGCAAACGGGGAAACAAAAAATAATCCCAATCATCAAAGTACCAGCTCTAAAGCCAGAGAAACCGTGCATTAAGATGAAGATCTCAAATTGTCAATGAAAGCCAGAAAAGATAAAAGCTTTTGCAGAATATAGGAAATAAGAAACTCCTCTGAAAGTCAACTCTTTTTGCACGTAGCAACCATGATAAAACAAATAAATATTTCTTCCAAATTTCCTTGCACTGCTTCATATAAAATTCCTATATTATATCAAGCACACACCATGAAAATTTCAACAATCAAATCACAAATTTCCCAAGTCCGTCAGAAAATGGCATCATATCGCAAAATCCGCATCTAGACAATTATACCCCTCAGAACCAACGAACAGAAGCCATAGGCAACAATTAATAAAGCAATCAGATAAGCAACCCTCAAAAATCCCAAATCGACTGTTGTTAACACAGCAAAAACCCACATCCAAAACCAAAACCTAATCCGAACCACAGATCACGCAAACCTACCACAGACTACAATTAAAATCTCCCCCTTTCTTTCTTTTCGCAGCTCAAACAGGAAAATCCATACCCACACCAACATTCAAAACAAGAAGGGCAGCTAAAGTTACCTGTTTTACCACCTGAACAACCGAAGATGATAAAAACAAAGCAACGAAGCCGGTAATAAGAGAAGGATGATGAAAAGATACCTTTTTGCAAGTCAGAGGAGAAGCGAGAAAGTAAACGCAATCAGTATTCCGCTTAACAGCTTCTTCTTCTCTCGTCAAAGAACGTGGATCGCTCCGCCCGCCGCCAGATTCCATGGCGCAAGACGTCGGCACTCTGCTGTCGTAGAAGACAGATCCAACCCACAGGAACGAATAAGGAAAGATAAATCAAAACCAGAAGATAGGTCTTCGATAGCTATGGTGGCGGGAGCAATCGAAGCACAAGAAGCAGCAGGGGGAGACGAGAAGGATGTGGACGCGAAGAAAAGGAAATAGCTAAAAAATATAAAGAACGAGGAAATTTAGGAAGTATGAGAGGGTTCGGATCTTATCTAAGTAATATTTATGGAATTAACAATGTGGGGTTATTCTAGGAAATAATACTATGATCTGAAGTTATGAGAAATTTGGGGTATAAATTAGTAAAAAAGTGAGTTTGAGAGCTAATAACAGCTCAGCTATAGAAGAAATTAATGTTCAGAAAGCTGTGATATTAATTATATATATATTTTTTTATTTTTAAAAGGTCATATTATAATTTTTTTGGCAATGAGCTCAGGTGTGTTTGGGAGCTTGCTCTTTTTTTGAAGAAGCTGCTCTGAAGCTATTTTTTGGGAAGCTGTTTCACATGTGTTGTCATAAAGTTGTTGTCGAAATAACTAGAGTCTGTTTGAATAATTTTTTCTGTTGAAGTTGTTTCTGATGAAAAAACAATTTTACACGTAAATTATCTGAATGACTACAGTTTTCTAAATAATTGTGGCAGAATAACAAAAACAACATCAACAATATATAAAACATGTAAAATGTCCAAATTTCTCTAATACATCAATTGTAAGTCATCATTTCATGCATAACATCACAATAATAAGAATCACAAAAATAACCGGTATTGATATACTGATGTTCATCTTCAGGACTAGATGATTAAGTCTTCAGGATAATTTTTTGTTCTCTTCTAACTTGGTCAATATCCAGAGCGAACTCATGTATATCATCAGTTCATAAAAAAAAAAACTTGTAATATCCGTGTGTCTTATTTCTGGGACAACAATAAAATCTCCTATCATAGCTGTATTATCTTCTTAATGTGTATTAAGAATACTACATATCGCAATGACAGTACAGAGCTCTTAAAGTATTTGATGACCTTGAACTCATTTTTTTCGGAGATTATAATACATTATGCTTTTAATTAATAAATCAGACTACATTTGCAATAAAATAACAAAATAAATAGTATATTTTGTAATAAAAAATACATGTAAGAAAAAAATATGCATATCTAAAGTTTTAACCTTGAAAATTAATATATCAAAAAATGAAGAGAAAATAGACATCAACTAATCTAAATACATTGGAAATAGTAAACATCAACCAGAAGACACTACATATTATTAATTAAATATAATAGATGATTTTACTAAAATAAATGTATTCTTTTATCTTAACTGAATCATCTTTTGAACACGCCCCTTCAGATATGCTGAAGTCAATAACACTAAAGTTTTTCTCGGGCAATGATCGTCTTGCCCAATATTTGAATACTTCTACAACTACGCATGTTAGATCTTCATCTAAGATCTTGAAATCAACATTATCTCGAGATGGATGTCTCCATATGAAATTATGTAGTGATGTCATTGCAACAACTAACTTTACATGTTTTTTGAAGGAATATATTGGCATGTCTGGGAGTATGACCCACTTCTTCTTTTATAAATCGAATGATCTCTAGATAACACTCTGTAATATTGAAAAATTTTAGGAACTTCTTATGCTTCATCAGATTGATCACATTTCCTTTCTTCATCTTTCTGATCACTTGATTCTTCTATCTCAACATATTTAGAATGGTCTTCAAAAGTAACTAATGGACAATATTAATTTCTGTTTCAATTCATATACATCTCCAATTTATTGAAAGTGACATCCCTGCTCTTAATAAATTTCTAATTTTAATATTCCTAAAATTTGTAACCAAATTCATCGAAGTCACACCAGCCACGCTCACCGTCAAGAATGAACGGCAAATCATAAGAATCTGATGAATAATTGAACAACATAACCAGGCTGACATAATAACAAAACAAGAGCATTATAATCAGTCAAATACATAGATTAAATCAATGGGTTAAGTGCATGCTCTTTGTAGTATATCAGCTTCTTCATAATCAAGCTAAACCTCCAATTCAAGGGGTATAAGAACAACTAGTGCAAATAGATGGATTTTTATATGCTCAAATAACTAAAGAAGAATAGATATTCCATTTTAGATGAAAAACCTCTAATTTAAGAGATTTGATAAAGTAGAAAAATTAAATAAATAAAAAAAAAATTAAGTGTGAATATTTATAGTAATTCAATTGAATAAATTGCATCCACCATAAAAAAAAAAAAGGTTTAGTGCTTTTTAATTACTCCTAGAATATAAATGCTTTGAATAAAAATGCTTTTTATACTTCTCCCTAGAAAAGATTAGATGCATTAAACCGATATTCTAAGTCATTTAATGAATAGAAATAGTGGAATTGAATAGATGATCATCTCATATTAAATGTGTGTCCACTAAGAATCATCAAATGAATATGACCTATGTAATAAGTATCTCAGTAGATGTAAGAAAATTGAAACAAATTTGGTTGTTCTTCAGCTATTATTTGTTTTGCTGGAAAAAAAAAATGCAATTTAGAAGGAATTTAGCTTAAATGAAATGCAATTATTTGTTTTGCTTATCCCTTTTGCTTGGTTTGAAGAAAAATAAATCATATGTAAAAGAACATTTGAGCAATAAGGAAACTTGGAACATCTTTTTTTCCAACTACTATCTCTGATGATCTCAGAGCTCACAAAAATTTTTCTGTGTAAACTCCTGACGTAGTTCTACGTGCGGCGTAGGGTCTACGTGCGGCGTAGGGCGTGCGGCGTAGGGTATTCCTGAGTTATTTTTAGGTTATTTTTGGGTTATTTTCAATAATCTTGAAATAACCCAGAAATAACCTGCGGTCTTTATTTTTTGAGTTATTTCTGGATTATTGAAAATAACGCAGAAATAACCTGAAAATAACTCAGGAATACCCTGCAACGCACGTAGATGTACGTCAGGTGTCCGGACAGAAAATGCGCGCTAGAGTTCACGTGATAGTTCTGCATTAAAGCTTCAAAATAATAATCTCTACTTCCAATTATTTTTTGTAGCTCATGTGTGAATTTCATTCATCATTGGCAAGTTTAAGTTATAATAGAAATGATGCTACATGAGAAGCCTATGTTTAGAAAACAAGTTATCTGTGAAGTTATATTAGAAGTTTATTCGTGTACAAACGAGTTAGACATCACATAAATTTGTTCGAACTTTATTCTTACCAAGTTTGCATTATATTAATCTTAAATATGGTTTAAATATTATTATAATAATTTCAAATATGGACAAAACATATTCTTTTGTTTTGTACTCTTTGTTAAGGAATTAGTTATGTAGAATTGATTTTTAATGTATGCATTTGGTAATTTTAATCATCTTTCTTGAGACATTACACTGCTTAGGCCATATATAGATTTGTAGAGACATTACACAAGAGGGGAAATCCAGCTATGATGGCTGTTGTATCAGAGCTATTGGGATTATAATTTCTTGTATCAAGGTTATAAATTATTTAATTATGGCTATTGTGATTACACTTTGATATATTATAATTAACTTCTATAACTTGAAATCTATTAGAACCATCTGCAAGAAAAAGCTCTTATATTTTAATTTTTGCTTAAAAAAAAAAAAAAAAAAAAGTTCATATTTGACACTTTTTAATTCATGGCACTCAAATCTTGTTGAAGGACTGTTCCAAACATAATTTTCACCTAACGATAGGTGTGAGTGTTGGGGTTGTCAAAACGGATCTTTAAAAAGCTCGGGTTCGATTCGTTCGCTAAGTTAACGAGTCCAACACAAATATTTTTTTTGCCCTCGATATATAAATGAGCCAAACATAAATAAAGATTTGTTTATTCGTGTTGGGCACTTATTGGCTCCAAATTATTATTATTATTATTATTATACATATATATAT